AGACCGAACTTATGTATACTCTCATATGTTTTTCTTGTATGTAATTTCGACCTAGAGAAGGAAAGATCAGTGTTTATTTGCCTGTTAGTCATATATTTTGGTTTGAATTTCGAGTTCGAGTCGAGTTAATCGAGAAATCATCGTTTGGGTCTTGATTAAAAGTAATTTGATTGCTTTGTGATTTGGTGTTTTGATTTTCTTGTTTCTTCATCTTGATTTTTGTTTCAAGTTCATTTTTTTTTTTATCATTTTGAACTACATGTTCTTCAACCATTGAAGCTTCATTTTTTTACAATATTTTTTTTTGTAATTAGTTTTCAATTTTATATCTTTTTTAATTTTTTATTTATTTCGAGTATATTTTTTTATCAAATTTAAATAACATGTTTCTCATCTATATAACTTCAATTTCTCTTTTCTACAATAATATTGTTTTTATAATTTAATCTTTTAATTTTGAATTTTATTTAATTTAATCATTGGATTATAATTTTCTCTAATTTCTTTTAATCTTTATATGTTCATCAATATTTTCTTAAAAAATTATCATTATAAATATGTTACATAATTTTAGATGATATTTGATTTACTAAAAATAATATAAATTACACTTACGCACATAAAAAAATGAAATATATATATATATCTGTTACATAATTTTAGAGGATATTTGATTTACTAAATAATAGTATAAATTTTATTTACATATAAAAAAATGAAGAAATATATGTATATGAACGGTCATTTAAATTAAAGTTAATCAAATCATAATATAATAATTATATTAAATTTAAATAAATATATTCGTTTCCATTTAGAAAATTTCAAATAAAATTTAAACGATAAACACAACTAACTTGAATTTATTTTATTGACTAAATTAATACTCACTTTTGTCAACCTCTTTTTGAAGAACACTGTTACATTATATGCTTCCGATAGTACAAATTTAAGAAATCTGCATTAGCATTGTATGGTTAGATATGCCTGAAAGGGGATGGTGCTACTGCATGTGCATGGCTAAGCTTCAACATTGGATTGAAACATTCTTCTTAGTCGTTGTATATACCGGCTCGATTCGACTCGAAACGGCGGAAAATTTAAAAGTGACGACGAGACGAATTCCCTATGACTGGGGAGCAAAACTTTTGTTCAGAATCATGTCATCGGTTGAAAAACCAGCCTCCGTCCTGTATGTTCCCCTTCCGAAATCGAGGTTATAAGAGTCCTTCCACCAGGTCGAACTCCGGTTTCAATCCGAGAACATGCTTTGCTTTCTCGACCGATGCAAAGAAATGCTGCAATGTATGCAAAAATATGAACATCTCCATGCAATCATTTTATCAAGTTTGTGAAATGAAGTTTTTGTGGAGAGTTTGCCTGATCCCTGAATGGGAATGCCTTCTTTTTACCGAAGTCGAACTCCTTCGGGTTGTAGTGAACGATCTCAGGTTCAGGAAATCCACCAGCCGGGATGAACATCAAAAACAACGACGACTTCGGTAATGAATTCGGTCTTCATACGACTTCAATCTCTTATCTTCTCAATGGCAGAATGTCCGAATTACCTTGGCGCAAGCCTTCGCTAATCCGTCGGAAGTCACGTACTTCTCTCCCGAAATGTTGAACACTTGCTTGCTGGCTTTTTCATTACCGAGAACCCTGACGAAAGCCGTTGCCAACTCCTGGAGTTTCACCAATATTGCAAGGATAAATATCATATAAATGTCTGTTTGTAGCCTCAATGTTGCAGTTCCACTAACCTTTACATGACCGAGTTGGGTTATTTGCAGTCCGGAGTTCGGAATCGGAATAGGGCGACCGGCTTTCAAACGGCGGAAGAACCATTCTTCAACCAGATTATAATTCAAAGGTCCGTAAACGTAGACCGGCCTCAAAGATGTCCAGTTGACACCCGTCTTCTCGAGTAAGCTCTCGGTATTAAGCTTCCCCTTGTGCCTACACTTTGGATCGACCGCATCAGCCAATCGGCAAGCCACCAACGATGTGGTAGAATATCAGATTTGAGGTAAACACCAGCTGAGGAGCAGTATATGAACCTGAGAATCAGCAAAGCATTAGAATATGGTATCGGCGCTGTTTCGGCACCGGTTTTAGACATAAACCGATACTTTGAGTTGCTAGCTAGCTGCAAAACAACGATTCAATCCTCGATACATCAATGTCTATTTGAATAGAATGATTATAAAGCTTACTGTTCTTGATTCGGGAGTGCATCCAATATCGGTTCGACTTCGACCGCCTCTCGTCCTGTAAAATCGTAGCAAAAAGTATCCTCTACTTGAAACAGATCTATCCTAGTAGAAAGGCAAAACACAGAACGAGCACGAGACGAGTATGGAGGTTTGAATGTCTTGACCAAGAGGTGATCGTTTCGCTGAATTGAACCATACATACATTTTTAGATTTAACATTATTAAGTCTCTCAATTGTTCATTGTTGCTGTCTATTTTAGTCGTTGGCTCGGATGAACAAGAAAGATTCATGGCTATTTTGGTGGACCCTTTACCTCTCAGTAAGTTTATCCTATGGCATACTAAGTAGATATAGGTGAAGTTGTGTGTCCTAAATGATCGAATTGATTAATTCGTTCTTTAGCTTTTCAGGCCGTTGCGTGGATTGTGCTTGGAATATTCTCTCTCATAAGGTTTCAAGCCGATTATCTCCTCGTTGTTGGAGTTTGTTTGACTCTCAACATTGGCATTATCGTGGGCTTCACAAAATGCCGCAAAGGTTGGTTTATTTACTATAATTACAATGCTTGGTTGAGTACGGCATCGTGTGATTTTTAGCCTTAGTCTAGCTATTCATTCGAGACTTATTTTATGCAACTTCTATCCTAAATTATTATGGTATGGAATCGTATTGAAATGATACAAGGAAGTGACATGTGATTAGTTAATTAATTATGACTTGGTCTTGAATAATTCATGATAGGTGCAAAATAGATTTTCCTTGAAGTTTATGACTTGGCCTGAATATCTCTGGGATTTTTAGATTAGCTCATCTTGTCTTGTACTTCAGATATTGTGATGACTTTTCCAATGGATACCATATACTGCATTTATCGGTCATTTGGCTACATTATTGGTGTTATTGGTTTGCACAAGGAGACCAACAATTAGGGTAGAGATTCCTCTCGGTGTAAAGCGGGCAATATCCCTTCATACATTTGCTTTTCTTTCTGCATATGTTCTAAGTTTGTTGCAGGTTATAGTTTTGATTTGTTTTTGCCCTACGTATGATGTTTGAGAGATGATAAGCGATGACGCTTGGTTAATACTTTATCGGTGCTAAGATTTGAGAGTGCATGTACTCATTGTTGGTAAAATATTGACCATAAATTATGTTTTTGGTCCTTTCTTTCAGATGCCAAGAAGCAGATTCAACGGTTCGCCACCCAGACCATTGCCTCGAGATTTTCTTCCACCATACAATCTGCATTTAGTGTTGTCTGAAACAGTCGATGGTAATATACGAGAACGGAATGGAACAAAATGTAGTGAAGTTCACAAAAGTGTGGCATGTAGAAAACTGAGTATTGAATTTGCCATTTTTGATGGGTTTTTTTTTCAAATGGTACATCTAATGATTTGTATAATAAATCGAATTGAAAGTTTGTGATGACAATGTTCCTTCACTGGCAAGGTACCATGATGACCTACAATAGTTATTTCAAGACAATTTCTATTTTTTTTTCCGTTGGTTAAAAATTAGAAATGAGTAAAAACCATCAATGTCATGCTGTACACTTCTCCTTTTCCATATATTTCTAGCTTCCATTGTTGTCGATGAACGCCATCAATTTCCTCTGCAATTCCACCATGAAGCTTCCTTCAAGGGTCCTAAGCCTTAGAAATGCATCGTGTTCGGGTTCAAACATTCATTTAACCCCCCTTGTTGTGATCAAAAGATTTCTTGCAAAGCGAAAGGTTTTCCCTTGAATTTCAATCGAAACTCTTTGTTCTGTGCCTACCCTTTTCGATTCTTAGGCTCACAGCACATTATCGAAAATACCCAGAATTTGAATTGCTTACCAAGTTAAGGTTTTGCTTCTTCTAGGCCATATGTGTCTCTATTCGAGCCAGGGTAGCTTTGAGGGTTCGGTGTTTCTCAACATCGTTTGAAACCGGTGTAAAAGATAAGAGTTTCGGGAGAATCTGCATTCAAAATGAGAATAACGTGAAGCCACGCGTTGTTGAAAGAGTCGGCAAGGATGAAAACACCGTAGAAGGAAATGTTCTTCTAGCTGAATGTGCAAACAATGCGAAGAATGTAGGGGATGGTTTGCAGGAGAAGAAGAGTGGGATATCAGCCGAGAGCAACATCGAAAAGGAGGCATGGGGTTTGCTGAGAGAAGTGATCGTGACGTATTGTGGATCCCCTGTTGGTATGGTGGCTGCAAATGATCCTGGCGATAAGCAGCCTTTGAATTACGACCAGGTTTTCATTCGTGATTTCATGCCTTCGGCTTTGGCTTTCTTGCTTCGAGGTGAAGGAGAGATTGTCAAGAACTTTCTCCTGCATACCTTGCAGTTGCAGGTATATATGCATACACATATAAATATATATTATACATGTTCACTTATTTATCTTGTTTTTAATTTAGAGTTCAGAGAAAACTGTGAATTGCTATAGTCCAGGACAGGATTTGATGCCGGCAAGCTTTAAGGTTAGAACTGTATCTCCTGGTGAAAACAGGTTCGAGGAAGTACTAGATCCAGATTTCGGTGAATACGCTATCGCTCGTGTTGCACCGGTGGACTCCAGTTGGTATATTGCACAACTTCGTAGACATATTGCTAATGCGACTTAAGTTTATTGAAACCGCTTTGTGGATAGGATTGTGGAGGATTATATTGTTGAGGGCATACGGAAAGATCACCGGTGACTATGCATTGCAAGAGAGAGTGGACGTTCAAACAGGAATAAAACTGATCCTCAACTTGTGTTTAGCCGACGGATTTGATATGTTTCCGACTCTGTTGGTCACCGACGGATCCTGCATGATAGACTGAATGATGGGTACTCACAGTCATCCTCTCGAGATCCAAGTGAGTTCAGTGGCTGAGTTGCTCTATGTTACATGGTCTTAATGATTCAGGTTGTTGTTTTATCTGTCATCTCAAATGTTTGATCTGCAGACTTTGTTTTACTCCGCCCTATGTTGCACTCGCGAGATTCTTAACGACGAATGCTCAAAGAACTTGGTGAGTGCCATCAACAGTAGACTGAGTGCATTATCATTCCACATCAGAGAATACCATTGGGTCGACATGAACAAGGTGAGTGAGATTTATCGGTATAAAAAGGAAGAGTACTCCATGAATCCTACCAACAAGTTCAATATTTATCCCGAGCAAATCCCTTCGTGGCTTATGGACTGGATACCCGAAGAAGGCGGTTATCTAATCGGCAATCTACAGCCGGCTCACATGGATTTTAGGTTCTTCACACTCGGGTATCTCTGGTCGATCGTTTCGTCGATGGGCACTCCGAAACAGAACAAAGCTGTACTCAACTTAATTGAAACCAAATGGGATGATATCGTGGGACATATGCCTTGCAAGATAAGCTATCCCGCCGTGGAGAGCGAGGAGTGGCGCATAATTACCAGCTGTGACCCAAAGAATATGCAAGTACCCTGCCCTTTATGTATTATCTACGTGTATATTTCCTCCTATGTATTATCTACCGACACCGGTGTACTTAACAAATTGTGCAGCCCTTGGTCATATCATAACGGCGGATCTTGGCCGACGCTTCTTTGGCAGGTAAACTTGAATTTTCTTGTTTGTTGTAGCAATGCCTTTTTATACAAGCAACATTGTCCTATGATGCTTTCATGGAATTAAACTCACAATCTTGTATTACCCCTTAGCTTACTTTGGCATGCATCAAGATGGGCAGATCACAACTAGCTCAGAAGAAAGTTTCTTTGGCTGAGAAGAGGCTCTCGATCGACCGATGGCCTGAATACTACGACACCCGTAGCGGAAAGTACATCGGAAAACAATCTCGACTTTACCAAACATGGACTATTGCCGGTTTCCTAACCTGTAGAATAATGGTGGAGAATCCACAGTTGGCTTCCTTGTTATCCTGAGAGGAGGATTACGAGCTTCTCGAGATCTGCGGTTGTGCACGTAACAAAAGTGGCCGGAAGAAATGTTCACGCGGCGCTGCTAAGTCTCAGATACTCGTCTGATTCGAACTCCATTTCTTCTGAGAAGCAGAGATCCTTCAACTGTACAGTCACAATGTTTAGGGTAGTGACTATGAACATGCTAAATCAATGACTAAAAATAAAGATATTAACGAACAACCAGTTGGTCTAGTGGGATGAGGCACTAGATTTCTTAAGTAATGTCAGAGACTTACGAATGGAGCAAACTGGGTTGAGATGGTCGTCCTCGCCTCTGCAATACTAGATCTGGATTAGTTTATCAATAGATCAGATATCAATGATAAATTAAAAAAATAAAGATGTTAAATTCATATGTCAATAACATTAAGAAGTATAAATTTTTAATATATTTCGATTTATCTCAATGGTTAAGGGATTTTGATGCTTAGCATGAACCAAGTGATCTCAATGGTTAAGAGATTTGTTATTATCGCTTGATATCCCGAGTTTGAGCATTGTTAAATAGTTAAAAATCTTTAAACATATGTCATCTTATATTCACCTCAGATTTATCAAAAGAAATTGATGTATAATACAAAATTATACGAATTAAATTACATAAATTTAAAATTATAAAAATGGAGAATGTGAACTAAATATATGACATGCATAATTGTTTAGGTCAAGACCAAATTTTCAAAAATTATAATTTATGATGATTAAAATGACCAAACTAGACTATAGGAACTAAAGTTCATGACTTTCGTAAAACACATGGACCGATAAAGGAATTTGACCATTTTATAATACTTCTACTACAAAAAGGTAAAATACACAAATTGTCACCAAATTATGCTGAAATGATCTTTTTGATCATTGAATTTTCAATAATTATAAAATGATAATTAAACTATTATAAAATGATCATTATACATTATAAAATAGTGATAAATTTTGATAAGTTTAAAGACCATTTTGTAATAGCTTGATAAATTTTATGCAAAAAGGCATCAGAGCAGTGGTGGATGCAAAGCATCCTCTGGGTAGGCACATGCCCACTCTGGAATCCGAGTTTCTTTATGTTAGATATTCATTTTACTATGAGTGTCCATCCTAAAATTTTATTTGTGTCTACTCTCATACGAAAAATTTCAATAATTAATATGTGTGCGCCCACCCTAAAAAATATTTCTAAATCCACCATTGCATCAGAGGTCCATGTACTTTTAATAAAAACAATGTGATTCTCGTATTATTTTTTCTCTCAATATTTCCCTCTAGCTCAAAAAATAAGCCCAATTTGGCTCTTTGACCAACATTTTTTTGTTGACTGTTACGGTGTTGATTTGGCAGTTCACGATATTGACGTGATGATCCACGGTGTTGATGTGGCAGTCTACAGTGGTTGATAACGTGGTAGATTATATGGCATATGGGCTAAATTGGTAACTCGAAGATGGCAGATGGATTGCCATGTCAGTACTGTGGATCACCACGTCAGCATCGTAAACTGTCACGTTAGTATCGTAACGGTCAAACATTGAAAAGCATCGGTCAAAGGACCACATTAGGTTTATTTTATGAGCTGGAGGGACACATTAAGAAAAAAAATAATACGATGGCCACATAAGGGTTTTTTCAAAAGTACAGGACCTCTGATACCATTTTGCCTAAATTTCAATGATTATTTTATAACATTTTAAGATAATTAATGATCATTTCATAAATTTTAAAACTCTAATAGTTAAAAAGATCATTCCAATATAATTTAGAGACTATTTTTATACTTTACCCCAAGAAAATATGCCCATCCGGACACCATAACAAAATCGGTAACATAAAATATAAATAAACAAATATCAATAATGGCCTCTGCAACATGACAAATAATCAATTAAAATTGAATTTTGGTGGGAGCTCAAAGGTCCCCCCCCCCCCAAAAAACCTCTTAATTAAAAAAAATAATACACGTTTAAGAAGGTTTGAATTTATATTTTCTAAATATTATAATATTTATATATTAATTATATTTATAACTATAATTTTTAAAATCTATATTTAAATTTAATTAATAAAACTTTTTTATTAAGCTAAAGTAATTACAACGTAGTATATGTTTTAAATAATCTCAACTATTTGATAATGAATATGCAATCCTCCCTGTAGTCGTTGATGCTAAAGTGATTATAACATAGTATATGTTCTAAATACTCTAAGGGTGCGTTTGATTTACAGAATGTAAGATTATCAGTGGGAATGTAAAATTACCAGGGAATAGGATTACTAGGAATGTTGTATTTTGTGTTTGGTTAGCTTAGCGGGAATGTAAGATTACCGTGTTTGGTTAATAGAATAAAAGATTATTAGAATGTATATTTGACCAAATTGTCCTTATTATATATTTGTTTTTTTAACAAGTTGAAAAATATTTATATTTTTTCTTTAAAAATTTAAATTCATAAAATTTATATAATTTTTTTTACAAAATTGAAAATATAAAAAGGTTTAATGAAAGGGTAAAATTTTATTTTAACTCCTGAACTTCATATAAAATTTTAATTATAGATTTTTTTTGTAAATCTAAAATAGTTTAAGGATAAATTTGTAATTTAACCTTCGTAGAATTTTTATTATTCAATGACAGAAGAATTATATTTTCGAATAAAAAAATTAAGGGCATTTTAGTCCAAAACGTCGGTAATCCAACAATACATAAGGAAATGGAAGTAATGACATTCTCGGTAATATACCTAAAAATCTACTATTGGTAATCTTACATTACCGAGAATGAGATTCCCGAGCTAACTAGACGGGGAATGTGGATTCGATTCCCATGGGAATCCCACATTCTCCATCCAAACGCCCCCTAAATTATTTGATAATAAATATTCAATCATCTATATTGTAATCGTTGATGTTAAAGTGATTACCACGTATTATCTGTTTTAAGTACTTTCAACTATTTGACAATGAATACTCAATCATCTCTATTGTAATTTTTAATATCGAAATCCATGACCTCCAGAAATAACAATCGTTTCTTTAATCAATAAGATAATTTAATTCGTACAAAAATACTTCATATCTAAATCTAAAAAAAACATGTAAATTATTTATATAAAAAAAAATTGGCCCACTTGGAAAAATCAAACACTATGTGTACCCTATAATTTCCCCCTCAAATATTGTAACATCAAAGCTTTAAATTTCATTACAACCAACTACTCTTATCATTATAAATCTCTCTCTCTTTACGAGCCCGGACTCAATCTTTTCTTCTTACAACCTGCTAGTGTGCTAATGGCGGGGAGATGGGCCACGTCAGCATTCCGGTGGATGGCTTCGGATCTCCTACCGTTCAGCTCCTCCGTCCAGCGGTGGGGTTTCACGGTGTGGGCGCAACTCGGCTTTTCCATCGTCGACGACGTCGTTTGGAGTGTCATCACGGCGTTCGAGTCCGTCGCCTTGGTTTCCATGCTCTGCTTCTTTTTTCTCTTTTGCGGCTGCACTTTCTGAAACTACGGGGATTGATCGATTGTCGGGATTTGACGTCAGCTGCTGAGGGTTTTCTGTCGGACTCCCGCGGTGGCGAGGTGGCGGAGGTCTCGAGGTTGTTCGTTAGTAGACTTCAGTCTGGCCGATGTGGAATTTGTTGCAATTTTGTCTTTTGTACTCCACCCCCCCCCCCCCAAATGTTTCAAGTTTTATGTAGTTTTGCAATATCTTGGAGAAAAAGGAAAATATATTGCAGTTATGGGAATATTTTATTAAAATTTGATTTTTTATATTTTTATAATGTTCAAATTTAAATTTAATTTATATATTTCGATGCAATATATTTTAATCTTTTACTATAATCATAGCTATTTCACTTAAAATATTAACGTAATTTAAAAGATGAAAAAACATTTTTCTAACTCCTTATGTTAACTCCGTTTTAATACTTAAAGTTTCAATTTTTTAGAACCATATCTTACGTGTAGTTTTTGTTTCATTTTAGTATCATATCATTAAAAACTTAATGTGTTTAGTATTTAAACTATCAGTTTTGGTCTATTTTAGTACATAAACTTTCACAAAATTTTCAAAAATTAACGTTAAGTTTTAGAAGGGGTACTAAAATGAAATAAAAACTAAACTTTAAGTATAATTTTAAAAAGTGAAAGTTTAAGTACTAAAATATATCAAAACTAGTAGTTTAGGTACTAAATGCATAATTTACCCTTCTTTCTATTAGATTTTTTTTTTAAAAAAAAAGCTTAATTATAAAATAAGCACCCCAAACTATACCGCTTTTTTTTTTTACTCATTCAGGTGTCTAACATTATAAACATTATCACTTTAGGTGTTTGGACCGTAACCACCGTTAAATTTTGACATTAAAGGATTTGTGTCATGTTTTTGTAATTTTAAAAAATTTATTTAAAAATAAAAATAAAAATTATATTTTAAAAAAACACAAAAAATTTGAAATAGCCCCAAAACTTTAAAAACCCTCATTTCAACCCCAAAACTCATGCCGACCACCGCCCTTTGTCATGAACAAAGCTTTACTTGACCTCACCTCCCCCGACGATCAATAAACTTATGAAATCACAACCAATCGATGTTTGTACCCCGTGAAACCTATTCTAAAAATCGTGACCCCACGCGATCTCGAAGACCAATTGAAGATAATTATGTCGGCATATGATTAGGAAGACGGTTGTGGTCGTGGTCGGAAAAGGCGGCGTTAACGGGTTAAAGTTAGAGATTTAAGATTTTAGGGATTTTATTTTTTTGTAATTTAAGAGAAATTAAAGTTTTTTTTATAAATATAATAATATTTTTATTTTATTAAAAAATCTAAATCATCATAACATTACATGTGTCACTTAACAGATAAAATTAACTGCATTTACGACCCGAATACTTAAAATAGTAATGTTTGTAACGTAATTTATGTATTAATAATTTGCATAGACATAATTATTATATTTAAAAAAAATATTTTATCATTAAAATTATTTAATAAGTTTTATTAAAAATATTAACTTAAAAATGAGAAAAAAAATATTATTAAAAATGTACTAGCGGAATAGCCATTGATTTCTTTTTCTATTGATAAATGAAAATAGAGAGTCGTTTTCTTTTCCCCTTAATCAGAGGCGTTGATCGGGGATTTGTGACAACAAAGGATGCATTAGCATAGCACATTTTTCACGTAATAAAATAATATAAAAATCGGATTAATAATCAAATCAATTATTAAACTATTCATAATATTTTTTTATATTTATTTGAGATTGTTGACGACAATAAGATAGTCTCGTCAACGGTTGTTGATTTATTTATTTTTTATTTAGTTGAAAAGTTTCTCGGTGGACAAAATCAAGATTAAATATCGGTAGGAGTCCAGATATAGATTACTAAGTATTTAAACTCGAAATTTAAAAGATAATATTTAATTTATCTAATATTTAAATTTACAATGACCTAAATGTTATTAGACCAAAGAACTTGAGAACATTGGATTATCATTTTCTAGTTCGACCCTTAATTAAATATTTAATAAATTTGTATTTTTTAATTTGAATACTTAAATAATATTAAACCAACACTTATCGAATATATAAAACTTTTACAGGAATCAGGGTCCAAAGGGGCCCCAACATAGCCCCGTCCCTAGATGAAAGAACAATCATTAATCAATGTTTATATGAATATGAGAGTCGATCATGGAGAATGAAGAAGATGATATAGGTCGTCAGGGTTTCATTCCATTTTTCTGTCTTGGTTGGAGTATTTATAGTGGTTTTTAATACGTTTATTAATCATATAATCATTATGACTATTTGTAAATCGATATGTTAAGAAGATGTAATAGTCAGACTTTAAATTTTATTATGACGTATAATGTGAACATATAAGAGGAATGGTCTATGCACTGCAGACTGTAGTTGATCAAAAACTTGTATTTATTGGATGTAGACTAGTCAGAGAGACTCTGATGGGTGAAGAAAATCATATAAAAATTTAATCGATCTCAACGAGTTTGATTTGACAAAAATTTAGAAATTTTCAAAATTCATCTTCAAAAATACCCAAGTTCTAATAAAAATATATATATGTTTTATTAAAAAATATATTATTTTCACTATTTAAATCATAATAAAACAATTATAGATGTATTATTTTAACTATTTTAAAGTACTAATATATTCGAATCGGGACGGGATCGGATTTAAGGTAAGAAATCACTGACCCGACCCAAACTTGTATAAATTACTAGTTTATCTTTTTTTTTATATTCAAACCGGATTGACTTTAAGGTAAAAGTATATTATGTTAACCATTTAAAAAATAATAAACAATTATAAGTATATTATTTTAACTATTTTAAAATAATAATTTATTCGAATCAAGTCGGGGCGGGTCGAATATAAACAATATATTTTCTGGGTGGGGCGAGTTGAATATAAAAAAATATAATTTAAAAATATTAATTTATTCGAATCTAGTCGTTTTATTATTGCTTCTATTTCATTGTTATCGCCTTCATGATATTATAAGATAAATATTAGTTGAAGCATCATACCGAAAATTAGTCTTGGAGTAATGGATGAAGCTGCTGCTTATCATCCAAACGGCTCAGATTTGATTCCTCCCCCCACCACTGAGGACAATGTTGTTTTAATTTATTTAATTAGTCTTGGTGCCACATGTCACCATATGATTGGAGAAAATATTTAAATTAAATAAAAATTAAAATTAAATTAATAAAAATCCTCCAATTATATGATGACAAATAGTTGGGTGACCTGATTGATAAGAATTTAAAAATAGTGGTCAAAATGAAAAGTGGTTATAGTTCGGTGGCCAATGGTATAGTTTACTCTTTAATCAATTGTTGTAAAATCAATTCTCTGGTAAATTTGTTTGCAATTGATCGTAAATTGTCGTTAATTCCCCTATGGTACATAACTCATTCACAAACATCTACATCAAATTCATCATCTTATCGACGTGGGCCATATAAATGAAATACAACAACGTTTTAAGTTAGGAATTTGGACATGAGAATTTAAAATTTAAGAATTCTAATTTCAAGATTTACATATTTAGAGGATTTCGACTTGAAAATAGAGGTTTGGATTCTTTTATAAAAAGTTTAAAATTTTGAGATTTTAAAAAAATATTTTTAATTTAAATATTAACAGCAAGTGTCTTAATTGAATGCATTTAAATAGTTGAGTGACTTGATTAACAAAATTTCAAAAATGATGATCAAAATGAAAATGGGCTTATTCAATTAAATGCATAATATTTATGCATAATTTTTAATTATGTGTGTAATTCTAAAAAATAACCTTAATTAAATGGATCAAATGTAATTTTGGTTTACTTTACATAAAAGATTCAACATTCTATTCTAGAATTTTTATATAAATATCCTTTTTCGACTTACTAAATGATATTTAATAGATTTATATATTCGGAAAATATTTTAATTTAGATTATAATATCCAAAATTGATTGTGAATATTAAATAAATCAAAATTTTAGAACATATTTATGAATTCAAATTCCCCATATTATTTATATTGTGGATGAGTAGGTCGCACTCGACGAGTATAATTATACAAACATGTATATAAGAATTGTCAAGTCTTATATCTGATTGGTGAGAAAAATATTTTAAATTAAAAAATTAAAATAAATTTAATTATACAATCAGATGATGACACATGTCATTACACTTGGCAACAGTGACACATGACAACATTTGATTTAAGGGTTAAGTTTATTTTAATTTATTAAAATTATGAATAAATTGATAGATATATATAAGTAACAATGACTAAATGTTTAATTATACCGAATATTTTAACTGTCGTATCAGCTTTTCCTTTAAATATTAACGACAATTGACTTAATTAAATGTATTTAAATAGTTGAATGACCTGATTGATACAAATTTAAAAATTATGGTCAAAATGAAAAGATGCAATAGTTAGGTGGTCACTGGTTTATTTTATCCTTTATTTTAAATAATTTACCTTTAAATTTTTAACTAATTTATAATTATACGTTGGGTCCTTTAAAATTTTATAAATTAAATTAATGGTGTTCGTCGAACGTTGTATAATTTTCCTTGTATTAAGGTCGAGTTTACCTAAAATTCCAGTTTTACCATCAAACCTCACTTACTCTTCGAAAGGGATTAAAGCTGCCAGTAAGGCTCTATGGTGCTCGACAAATGTAGGGAGAGAAGCACAATTTGGTGCAATGGATAAATTTAGGGCTGGAAAACGTCACTGTGGTAAATTATATTGTACTTAAAGCACAATTCTTAGGTTTTGATCCTTGGGGACAAGGATTCTTTCACGAAGGGGGTGTTGTCTAGGGGTGTATTCGGTTCGGTTCGGTTTTTTACCAAAAATTGAATCGAACCGAAATAAACAGGTTTTTAATATTTAAACCGAAACCGAAAAAACCGAAACCGGTTTTTTCGGTTCGGTTCAGTTTTTTTAACGGTTCGGGTTTTTCTGTTCGGTTCGGTTCGATTTTTCGGTTTTTCAATAAAAAAAAATCACTTGAAACTAAATTTTTTTTTACAAAATTTGCCTATTTGGTTCAATATGGAACAAATGGGTTCCATATGGAAAACCCGAACCGAACCGAATCAAAAAAATGAAGCCTTTAAACCGAACCGAAAACCGAACCGTTTAAAGCCAAACCGAACCGAACTGAACCGTTTTACTCGGTTCATGTCGGTTTTTCGATTTTCTCGATTTCGTTGCTCAGCCCTAGTGTTGTCATAAGTAACAAAGATATAGAAATAGTAAAATACGGGAGAGAATTTGAGAAATTGAAAGTAGGGTTAGGGATTTCAATTGAAACAAATTAGGGTAATTGGGAATACAAAACTACATGGGCTTGGTCACTTACCTGATGGACCAAATGAGCAGTTTGGAAGTTTAGCCCAATCAGGGAAAGAAATCACGCCAACAGCGCCTGCAAGGGAAGAATTATGTTAGACAACTGTACTGTCAGCTGGTAAATTGGTGAGAATTGGTACAATATTAACAAATAAAAAGTGTACTGAACCAAGGGAAAATTATATGAAAAATATTGAATGAAATTATTATATTATTCAATCTCTTTTCCTTCTCTAAATCCTCTTCTCTCAATCTCTATTTCTATTCTCGTTCTTCTCCAATTCTTTTGGGTCATAACTTAAACGTTCAACCACTTTTATAAATGTCATCTCGAACCTGATACCTATAGGAATAACAATTATTCTTTTAACTGTTGAGGTTACTTGATTCATGTCATTAATATGATTTTAGATGTAAAATTCAAGGGTGATAAGAATAAATTATAAATTGACAATTAAATTATCAGTTAAACTAACAATTAAATTGGCAACATCCGATTGGTTGTTTAAGTTTGTCTCGAATTTAAAATTTAAAAAAGATTTTATCAAAACTAATCAATATTTATAAATGATTCATTTAAAGTTATTTTTTATCTGTCAAAAAAATAAAAATCATTTTTATTTAATACTCAATAATATTATATATTTTATTAAAATATTAAATATAAAGACTTTAAATATTATTAATAAAAAACGTTGTTATATTATTTATTTAATTTACATGTGGTGTAAATATAAAAATTAAAAATGGGTTGGGTCCATGTTTTAAATATTCTTTACAAACCCTTTGTAATAACCCAACCCTTAAAATATATCTAATTATTTGGGCTAAATCTTCAAATATATCTAATAATTTTTAGAGTTAATTGCAGCAATGCCCTCAAACTATGACCTTTATTTCAAATTGGTCCCTAAACTTTTAAATGTTCTAATTTCATCTCTAAACTATGGCTATCATTCCAAATTAGTCCTCAAGTTTTTGAACATTTTAATTTCATCACCAAACTATGAAACCCATTCTAGATTAATCCCCAAACTTTTTGAATATTTCAATTTCATCCCAAACTATATTTATATACGAATGACATCCCTTGTTAATAAAATCTTAGGCCAAATTAGGAATGGGCATGGGACCCGAACCCAACGGGTTCCGACCTTATCGGGTCGGGTTTTTTTAAGTGTGATGTTCGGGTCGGGTTCGGGTTTAGGGTGAAAAACACCCGACCCGAACCGAAAAAATATATCATTTTACATTATTTATTTATGAATGATTACAATAATACCCCTCTATATATAATTTTTTTCAATTAAGTCATTGTTTTTATTGAATAAAAATAATATTTTTTTATTATTTCAGGTCGGGTTGGGTCGATTTTCTAAGTTATATATCGGGTCGAGTGAACTCTTGTTTTGGTCGGGTCGGGTCGAGTCTCGGGTGGAGACTCCCTTGTTCTCGGGTCGGGTCGGGTGGACCAAAAACCCGACCCATGCCTATCCCTAGGCCAAATTATGTTATTATATGTTTGAAACAGAACAAAATTTAGTTTAAACAATGGCTGAAATTAGTTACACATTTGGATGAATTTTGGGATGAAATTGGAATATTCTAAAGTTTAGGGACCAATTTAGTAGAAGCATCACGGTTTAAGGATTGAAATAGAAAGTCTTAATTTGGGGATGAAAGTAAAATATTTAAAAGTTTAAGGACTAATTTAAAATAAGAGTTATAGTTTGGGGACGTAAGATGTAATTAATTTAATATTTGAATATCTACTCAAATAAAGATGATAACAACTAAACGTATTGTTCAATGTTTGGTACATCATAATTGAAAAAAAAATTATTTCAAAAACAGTTTTAAGATGTTATTTTGTAATTATTCAAATTTAAAAAAAAAAATTATGACAAGTGTTATTCTTATTTATTTTTGTATTTCTAAAAATAATCAAAGGATACTTTTTATATCTTAACACATCTTGTGAAACTATTTTTAATATATTATAAAACTATAAAATAGGCCAAATTAAATCAAATTAAAATCTTGAATATTGTAGTTTAAGTTAGACTTATACTTTAAATAAGTCTAATATTTTTATCAAACCCTTTATAAATTTTGAAGATATCTTTAAATTTAGATGATAGTTAAATCTAGGGAAGGGTATGGGTAGGGTA